CGAATCTCCGGAGGTAGGTTATTCCAGAGATGAGGAGCCACCGCCGAGAAGGCCCGGTTTCTAGTTCTTTCTTTCCGGGCCTCCCTCAGCGTCAGGCTCCTCAGCCTCACCTCCTGGCTCGCGCGGGTGACACGGGTAGAACTAGCTGGGAGTAAGCGTTCCACCAAGTATCGAGGTCCTAAACCATTTAGGGCTTTATATGTAAGCATTAACACTTTGAAGTCAATGCGGAAATGGATGGGCAGCCAGTGCAGCATGGCCAGAGTAGGAGAGATATGATATCTACTTGCATTTGCATGCTTTCAAACCGCTAGGTTGGCGAGAGCTGGGACAAGCGACGGGCGCTCACTCCGTCGCATGGATTCAATCTTACGACTGCTGGTCTTCTGACCCTGCAGCACAGGCTTCTGCGGTTTAGCCCGCAGCACCACCATGCCCTGATGCATTGCTGTACCAAGTGGTAAAGAAGCAGAGGCTTGTGGTACTTATGGACTGGGAACAGAAGGTATTGTGGATTGAGTCACATGGCCCATCAGGATTGCATGGGCATGCTTATTTATTTCTCCTCTCCCACAGCAGTGCAGTTCTCAGGGTGTCTTATAACAAGTTAAAACTACAGAAGGGTAAACCATTGTAGTGAAGGCATGGTTGGGAGCAGCAGATGACACAATCCAAAAATGAACATTGGATTTCAAAAAAGTCACAACATGCCAGGGCGGAGCTTGCTTTCTTAGATGACAAAAAAAAAAAAATCACATGAGAGAGGGAGTTAACTCTCAACCTCCCTTGGGAAGGACCTCTGCAGCCAAGAGGTGAGCACAGAGAATTTCAGCCTTCAACCCTACTGGCTATCATTGTGACATGAGGAAGGAAGGGTCTTCCTCAGAGGAGTGTGTCCTGGATGGACAGACTAGGGTAAGGAACCTGGCGCCTTCCAGAGGCTTTGAACCATAACATCAGGAATCACTAGCCATTAGTGACGGGAGCTGCTGGTTGTGACCATTTACACAAGGACCCCTCAGACCAGCCGCTCATGATTGGAGGAGTGAAGCCAGTGGAAGTTCTTTTGCCTCCCGAGCAAATGTCCCTGTTGAGAGCAGCAGCCCAACAGGGTTGGGGAATGGGCAGGGCCTGTCAGAAATTCAGTTCTGTGCCTGTCTTAGAGAGGTGATTGACCCTCCTTCCCTCTCTACGCAGACCACTTGCTGCGAACTTCCTCTACCAGCAGACCCGCTTCTCTGCCAAGAGTTCCTGCCATGGAAAGTGCCAAGTCCATCTCTGGTAATTGTATTGAGAGGCAGCAAATGGGGCCAGGGGCATCATGAAAGGGGCAGGGCAGCCTTCGAATTACAAAAGGCATCCTGCTCAGAGACCACTGTGCTCTTCTGGCATGTATGTTGCAGCAAAGGCAATGAGGTCGTATCACGTGGGGATAGCACCAGAGGGAGCAGGAATAAGCCCCTGCCTAGGGACTGCTGTGCTGGAGGACGGTGGCTTTCTGGAGGAAACTCCCTCCCCCCTTCTGTGAAGTACTTGCCATCATTTGCCTGTATTTGCAAACTGAGAGAATAAATACAGACCAATTAGAGCAGAAGGATGCCTTTCATGTTCACTCCTTTCCCCCTTTTTCCAGATGGAAATAATGGAATCTCAAAACTAGAATTCTGAGTTGTGGTGTTTGTGTCCAAGTGTAATTTAAATGTATTTTTGACAGCACTTTTTCTGCAAGCAAATGATGCAGAGTAGGCGGTTAGTGCTGCTTGGGGAAATAAGATGGTTTTCTCATCTTCTCTGATCCTCATGGTGCAGCGGTGGTTAAGCTGCAGTACTGCAGAATTTAGTGCTTACGACCAGGTTTCAATTCTCAGGTAGCCAGGCTTACGGTTCACTCAGTCTTCCATCCTTTTTGGTAAATTGAGTACCCAGCTCGTTGGGGGCTGGGGGAATGTCTAAGCTGCATAATTGTAAACCTCCCAGCGAGTGCTTTATGCATTATGGGACAGTATAGAAGCAGCACAATTTTTCAAGAGAAGTTATTAAATCTTTAGAATATATTTGCAAAATATATTTTTAAATATGTGTATTTTAATGAATATATTTAAAAGCAACCATTCAAGTAGTTTTAATGGCATTTGGGTAGGTGGGTCCTCTAACCTGTTTTCTTTTTCTATTGCCAGTGTCTCGGCGAAGCAGTGAAGAAATCAAGCGGGACATTTCGGCTCCTGATGGAGCCTCCCCAGCTTCTCTCATTGCAATGGGAACCACTTCACCCCAGTTGTCTCTCTCTTCTTCACCCACAGCATCTGTCACCCCTACGACGCGTAATCGCATAAGGTACAATTCTGGCAGGGCTTGGTGGGGCTTCACAACAGAAGGGCTTGCAGCTTTTGGGTGCTGTCGGCAGATAAAAGTGTTCTCATAGACCATGGATAAATAGATTAAAGTTCTGAGGGAATAGGTAAGAAGCTGTGAAGGTGGAAGTGGCACTGTGCGCTCTGCTCCATGAGCGCAAGCTTTTTTCTCCTGCCTGAGTGTCTGGCACACTTGGCTATCCGCCCCCCCCCCCCAATTTTTGCCTCTAATTTTGTTCTCTCTTGGGGCCACTGAATAGAGCTGTGTGCATGCCAGGTCACTGGACACTGATGGACTAACGATGCTTTAACCCTGGAGCTGGGAAGTGGGTCAGCACATGACTGAAGAGTGCCAGAATTGCTTGCTGCCTGTTGAAGCTGCGGTGCTCTGTGATTTGGAGAATAACTCTTCTCTCCCAGGCAACTTTTCCTCTGGTTTCTTCATTGGCTTCTAGACATCTTAGAACTGGGGAGGTGCCTAGTCCAACCTCCTGCTGCAACATTCTTTAATTCTTTTTAAATATCTCCAGCAATTGTGAGCAACCGCTATAAAAGAGCACTGGCCCTCAGAAGCTTTTCTGAGCTGTCACCACCAGAATCTCCTTCCCTGCAGATTCTGCCCATTAGTTCTCATATAGCCCTTTGGAATAACAGGAAACCAGTGAGCTCCATTTTCTGCATGACGGCCCGTGGGATACTTGTTCTTGTTGTAAAGGCAGTCTTCCTGTCTCCAGGGTTACCACCTCCAGCTCTTCCAGAGGGATTTGTCTCCAGATTCCTCATCACTCAGCCCCACCCCCACCCGTTTGAACATGATACAAGCTTGTCCTCCTTCAAATGAGGTGCCCAGAACAGGGCAGAGAATTCCACATGTGGCCTGAATGAACTTTGACTATTCTGTCCTGTCCTCCGGCCGCAGTGTCTGTTAAGACCGCCCAAGGGTCTGGTGCCTTTTTAACAGCCCCATTTGTAGGGCTGACTTGGGTACTGAGCTTGAACTCCATGGAATCGGAGATCCTTCTGCTAAGCCAGCTCTCCTTCATCCTATACAGTACTTGTACCTTTCAATCTTTGTACTTGAATGCAGAACGCTGCCCACACTTGGGTCGAATATAAGCTTGTTATTTTCAGCCTAGTTCTCTGCTCTCCTGACCTCTGAATCTTGTTCTGTCTTCTGTAATATTAGCTGCCCCTTCCAGTTTTATGTCATCTGCAGATTTGATAAGCATCCTCTCTTTGCCCTCATCAGGACTATTCTTAAAAAAAAAAAACAGACCGCTGTGACACGCCAGTTCAAAATGTCTGTGAGGGTTGATAAAAGAGTCGTTCATAGCTGCCCACGGGGTGTGTGCATCTCACGAAGCGGGCTGCTTTCTAAGCAAGGAGGTGCTGAATATAGTGTGTTATCCTTCAAGGCTTTGGGGATCTTCAATTTTCTTGTTTTTCTTCAGGTATGCTGGGTCCACCAGCTGTGGATTCACCCAACAGTCCATATTTTGTCATCTTGCCCACAAGAATATGATTGGGGGGGGGGGAATCCCACCTGCTGAAATCAAGATACGTAATATTTTGGCATTCCCAAAATCTGCTTGATTCTATTAAAAGAGAAAGGGAGAAAGGGCTGTTCCAGCATGACTTATTCTTAGCAAATAGTTCTGAGTACATCCTGACTGGTAATACTCTTTTCATTCTGTTTCAGCTGTGACAGGTTGAGCACTTAAATCTGTTTTAGCCTTTTATTGAGCTCAGGCCAATTGGCCTGCAGTTTTGTGCATCTGTGGTTTCCTTGCTCTTGAAGATGGGAGACCACATTTGTTCTCCTCAGTGCTTCAGGCACCTCGCCTGTTCTCCAGGAATTCTCAGAGCTTATCGAGAGAGGGTCTGAAAGAATGTCTTGTGCTCTTCTCACACATAAGGATACATTTGTCTGGCTACAAGACATGAAACCGTTCAGCATCCATGTTTTCGCTTGGCTTAACATCTCTTTACCTATCCTGGCCTGAAACAAGCCTTCCTTGGGGGAAAAGATTAAAGGAGGGGGTCCTGGCCTGAAACAAGCCTTCCTTGTTTCATTGATTCCTCTCCTCCCAGCTTCCTTGGGGGAAAAGATTAAAGGAGGGGAGGGGTGAAGTAGTTCTATCTTCTTTCATCATTCTCTTTCTTTAGCATGTGACCTTTTTCATCTGCTACTCTTTCTAACACCACTAAGGCTGGATCTTGATATGGGTACATAAGCATTTAACTTCTGTTAAGTGCAGTCCCATGGATCAGTTGACTGCATAGATGCCTTGCAATCATTGTATCACTAGATCAGTTGCTAATCATTGTTATGGGCTCCAAGAGTAGTTGTTACATAGAAATCCATTGTTTAAGTGGTGTATATATAACCATAACCCTTTATATGCACCACTTAAACAACTGTTTAGTGATTGAAAAGCATGTATATAATTTAACTGATCCATGGAACTGCGTTTAACAGACAGTTAATTGCTTATGTACCCATGTCAATATCCATCCTTAGTGGTGTTAGAAGAAGTAGCAGATGAAAAAGGCTGCATGTTGAAGAAAGATTTTAAAAGAAGGTAGAACTACTTCATGCCTCCCCCACTTTAAACGTAAGGAAGAATATCCTGAGGACTAAAGAGGAGAGGGGGAATCTGTAAATCTGAGCTGGGCAATGGAAGTCTGTAGTGCCAACATGAAGCCATTAATCAAGGCTTGGGTTTGGAATGCAGTTGACCTAACAAACTCACCAGTAAGATTAATATTTGTGGTAAGACTCTTTTCATTGTGTCCACACAGTCCATTTTTATTTGTTTCCTGAAACACTATTTTCAAAACAAAGAACTTGACATAAACTGTGTTCCTTACTGGAATTTAGAAACAAGCCGTACTGTTCTCTGACAATGCTATGCATGTTTAGTTTTTTGTTTTTAAGAAATCTGATTCAAAGTTCTATTACGTTCTTAACTTAGCACATAGTCCAGTGTTTTCATTACTCTTGATATGAGCATTGATTTTAATCTTTCAGTGTTCATGTAGCCAAAGCTGCGCCTCTTGGAGCTGCACACATGCACAGATTCCACACAGAGAGGAAAAGTCATGCCCATCAGCCCCAGAAAGACAGAGCCACCTCAGTTTGCATGGCATGTAGAGTGCAAGGCTTCATTCTTAAGGGAGGAACAGGGTGCTTCGGGCATGGCGGAATTGCTCCCTCTGTCACGAAGAGGTGCAGTCCTTCTGTACCCACCAGGGCAGATGGTCCCTGTGGGCACCAGTTTCAGGTACACCAGGAACTGCCAGCCCAGGGCTGCTACCCAGCATGTGTTCTGCACCCCACAGAAATGCCCATGGGCAGTGCTTGCGTAAGACCACGTGTACAGCTTCACTGGATACTTTTTTGAACACGAGTGCTCTCCTTTCAAGGAATAACCTAACTTCATGGAATATTGATGATAAAACAAGCATTTCCTTTCTCTTGCAAAACAAAAATATATTTTAAAGTGTTAAATGAGGCTTTGAGACAGTTTTGCGGGTTTATAGCACAGCGCTCTCAAAGGTACTGTTGAGTTCCACTGATCTTTTAACCAATTAGGAGATGCTGGAAAAGAAAGGCTCTTTTGTCTATGGTTGGGTGTGTGCTTTTGATTGCTTTGCGTAAATTGAGGCCCAGATTTCACGCAAGAGCAGAGGAGGTAAACATGTTTCTCCAGAGGTGTGCCAGGTAATCTCAGACCCTGGATTTACAGTAATTGCCATAAGAGGAGAATGGGGATTAGAAAGGACACACTGCACATGCTTAGAGGCAACTGTGTTATTTCACATTTGTGTACCTTGGGAACTGGTCCCACATAAGCTTTTCCCTTCCTTTTCTCTGCTCTTGTTTCCCTTCCAGGACGTCATTTTACACTTTTCCAGAGTCTTCCTCCCGTTTCTCAGGAGTCTATTTTTGGGTAGTAAAATAAAGCATAGCATGACATCATCATGCTTCACCTTTCCCATTTCCATTCCACTTGTAGAGGGTGGAGAGTCTTTATGGGTGAGCCTGTCCCTCTGAATTAGAGCAGGGAAAAGGGGCAGGGCTGCTACCTGCTCTGGCAGCCCCCCACCTGGCTGCTGAGGTGTCGTTCTGTCTTCCAGGTTCCACAGAAAGTTGCCTGTTGCCAGTGGACGTCCTGGCTGGCTTTCCCTTTCAATGTGACCTTGTGAAGCAGCCATGAGTTGCAGGGAGATACCATCAGTTTATTTTCAAAATGCAAACTGAAGAGAGAGGCTCACTTAAAGTGCTCCCTCCTCCCTCCTTTCCCTTGCAGAGGAGTTTACATCGAGCAAAAACCAGCCTGTAGGCCTGCCTGGGAGAGGAGGGGAGAGGTTTGAGGCAGGCTCAGAATGTGTGCAGAACATGATGTTGCCTGTCAGTGGGTTTTGTGGGAGGTGGCGGGAGTACATGTAGGAAGTGTGTAGATGATATTACTGTGCATAAAGATGATATAGTGATGAGGAGTCAGAACAGAGAGTGAAAATTTTGCCTCTTTTTTTAAAACAGTGTTTTAATTTGACAAATGATGCCGAGTGAGCTATGAACACCCTTCTTTGTTTTCAGAGAGGAAAGGAAAGACCCTTTGTCTGCTCTGGCCAGGGAGTACGGCGGCTCCAAGAGGAACGCTTTGCTGAAGTGGTGTCAGAAGAAAACCGAAGGCTATCAGGTAACTGTGGCCTGTCCTCTGCACAGCACAAGCAGAGGAGCACCTGCAAAAAGCCAGCAGCCCACACTCACTTGCTCGACTGCTTCACAGTTCAGGGCCTTGTTCATGAGAAAGGCAGTGGCATGCTGCGTCCTGCCAGGAGCCCCTGCCACCTGTTCAACCCAGAACTGAATAGCTTTTTTTACGCCGTCTTCTCATAGAGCAGTTGCCTCTTTCCTGGAAGCAGGTTAATTTTTGCCTCTTACTCCCTGGTGGTTCCTAGTCCACAATTTGCAGAAGATAACTTACTCAGGAGTCTTGCCTCTACAGTGGCAGTCATACGGCTATCTTTGGAAGGAAAGGTGCCAAATTCCAGTGTACTCTGCCATTGGGCAGTTAATCAGCTGATGTACACCCAGCCTAAAAGGCTTTGTACCTTGCCTTTCTTAAACAATGGTTGGAATGCAAAGCAAAAATAAGGACAAGTCTTCTGTCACCTTAACAACTAACCTGTTGCATGACAAGAAGCTTTGATGGACAATAGTGCTGTGGACTCCCTTTTCGCTGTCTCAGCTAACACTCTTCTGCCCCATCCCCAGAAAATCAAAAAGGCACTTTTACCAATAGGTCAGGCTGGGGACCAAGTCATACTATTTGTTTAGCAGCTTTCTGTTGAACATTTTGGAGCATGGAATACATGATTCAAGCCCTTCAGCTGTATTTGGCTCTGTTTGTGGGTTGAGACTCACAATACAACAGGAAGCTGAAAGGCCACAGCACAGAATGGGGGGTCGTTAATGCAACAGGAAATGTGGTGCTATGTAGGCAGAGAAGACCCCTCCCTTATATCCTGGTGCCTCCACAGTTAGCAGATGGTGCTATTTCTGACTAGATTTCTCTTAGTGGAGGAGGATCCCTCTACTTCCCTCCTGGCTTTTAAAGGCAAGGTGCCAGATAACTCTGAGCAAAAATTGTCAAAATCTCTCAACGAGAAGGCATCTGATTTGTCTTACTGTGGTGCAAGGTGCCTGTGACAGTTTCCTTAATTTAGCAATTTCAAGGCTTTCTGTTTCTAGCAGCCTGTGCCAGGAAGCCCTATAGTGCATGCAGATTATGTGGCTGCTTTGATCTTCCTGGGTCCCTGTGAGAACTGGAGGCGGTGCCAAGGGAGGTGAGAGAAGCTGGGTGGACTCACCCACCTGCCAGCAATTCTGTGACTTTCAGCATGAATTGCTTCACAACGAGCCACATCATGCTGTGTTGTACAAATCAAGGAAATCGCTGCAGGGAGAGACTGGAGCATTGGTCTTCGGGTTTGTTTTTTACAGTAGGATTAGAAAGAGGCAGGTTTCTTGCTTCTTAAATGACAGGCAGGGTGACTTTCTTAATGAGCCCTGCATAGTGAAAATTAGCAACTTAGGCAGAAAGGTTGAGGCCTGATCCTTTTTAAACTCTCCTGTCATGTTTCTGGAGGCAAAGAGTTTTGCCGTAGCTGCTTCTTGCCAGTACAATCCCAGAAAGCATTATTGCTTGATTCTGCTTGAAGCTACAGGATGGGTCCAGAACTCCCAGAGGAGTGTTTCTCACTGATGCCTGTGGTCATTGTTGCGTTAGGTTTTCATATTCTTACCTTCCTGTTGGAATTATGCCTTGCATTATCTGTGTTTATGGTGTGAATTTCTATGACTTTACGGTTTAGGTAAAATACCAAGACCTTTTCAAAGAATGTGGCTAGGTCTACCGTAAAAAAAAGGTAGAGCAGTGTGCTGTGTGACTCATTCTGGGGACAAAGAGGTAGACCAGATGGACCTAAGATAGTCTGCTTCTTTCTCTTCAGGACTGCATGTGCACTGAAGGTGGTGTGTGCTTCTTCCTTTTTTAAATTCTGGTTTTGCCAGTTGCTGCTGAGCCCAGTCTGAAAAGTGACAAAACACCCAAGAGTTCAGAAGAAACAATCATGCACTTAATCCCTTTCCCAAATTCCACTAGAACTTTTCCGGAAACTGGACTGCCTTGTAGCCTATGCATCAAGGAGGGAACATACACGCAGATGCACATAAAAACACCAAGCATTTGGGGAACATCCGGAGCAACGGGGCTCAGAAAGACTCTGCCCCTTTGTGCAGTGATAGGAAGCCTGTCAGTCTGTTGATTTGTAAGCAGCTCCCTGGGGTCGGCAGGCACCCATGGGCCAGTTCACTTGCAGCTTAGCAAGGAGAAACTGTGAGCTTCTGTGAGCCCTGAGCTCTTGGTTGTTGCTCTGTCACTGAGGAACGAGTGACACACACACACACACGCCAGCTGTCCTGTTCTTTGTGTCCTTGCGTTGAAGAAAGGCCCGAAGAGCACGTGCTGCACCTGATCCGTCACTCTTGCATCCGGCAGGATTTACAGCTGTGCCGAAACCCTTTCCCTTCGATGTTACAGTAGCAGCGAGATGTTTCCTGTCTGAAACAATTCCTCCCTGATGCTAAATATGGCAACTGCTTACGCTTTCCCAGAATCTTCATTTGTAACCTAATGTGCAAAGGCTGCAACCATTAAGTGGGTGCAGTTGCTCTTGGTGGAGCCAGCACTACCCTCTACTGGGAGGGATGTTCCCACTGTGGGTTTGTGCCTCCTCAGCAGCCATCAGTTTCTCTTCATAATGCATCTGATTACTATTGATTTTTTTTTACTGTGTCCAGTAATCTAAAACTTCAAAGCCAGCATTTCTGGTGCCATTTAAGCAAATATGTACAGTATTCTTAATGTAAGTTATGCATTTGGAAAGAACTTGAAAATATTTGGCAAACGAACAGGGAACATCAAGATTGTTGTTTCTTTAGAAGCTCCTTCCTTTCCTAAAAGGGAAAAATGGGGGCTTATAAGATCCCAATCATGTTCATAAAATGCTGTCATGAATATTATCACCTGCTGCTAAAATTTGAAATCTAGATTTTTGGATTGGCGGAGGGGAGGGGAGGGATGTTTTGACCTCAGCCAAAGGAATAAGGGAGCAGCATGATCTCCATCTCAGGTGGACTGCCAGCAGATAAACCAGGCTCAGAATGGAGGCCAACCTCTGGGAAGTCGTCCCTTCATCCTGGCCTTGTCACATGGCTGCCCTTCCTCTCTGATTCTGGGGTTCATTCCTCCTTTGTTGGCCCATATCTTGATTCTGCTCCATACAATGGTGTTGTGTATTGCAGGGTCCATTGCTGTAAGCCCTTTGTGGGCAATGGAGGCAGGCCTGCTTCCTTGGACTCTTCCTGCTGACCGCATGGCCTTGCTTTCTTTCCCACTGGGAAAGCTGAGGTCCAGTTTGGGAAGGACTTCCATAAAAAAAGCCTTTCTCTCTTGTAACTCCTCATGTTCTTGGACTGCAGCTCCCATCAGCCACAGCCGGTAGATCCTGTGATGAGCGCTTGTGGGAGCTGGAGTCCAGCATCATCTGGAGCCCCACACTTGGAGGCCTGGACCTGGCAGGTGTGATGCATTGTCCACTGCAGAATAAAAAGCCTAGGAAAGAAAGACATTATACCACAGGAGGAGGATTGTATTGCCTGCCAGTAAGTCGGGCCTACTGCCTGCTGGATATTGTGGCGGTTTCACCTACAGAGATAAATACGATAGCCTACAAAGTCTGAATTTCCTGGGCAGAATGGATGTCTGTTACATGTACCAAAACTTATTTGCTGACACAGGTGAGAATGAAAACAACCTAGACAAATATTTAGTTGACCTCTAAGAGGTCTCTCAGCAAAACGTTGGATACCTCATGCCCTCCTGTTTGAGCACCATTCAGAGGAAGATTAGACCCTGCTACTTAGCCGTCAGTGGCTTAGCAAGTTGAGCAAACATTGGCATAGTCAGTGTCAGCTTTTCGATGCGTCAGCATTCTTGCCCTCAGCTTGCATTGTTCCCAAAACATTCCCCTCAGGACCAGGGCAGCTTTACCTGTTTGCACTGGATCAGTGTCAAGTTGCAATGTTTGCAACTAGCAGGAAATGCCTGAAATGTTCTGCCTTGCACACTGAAAACCACATGAAATGGCATGCCCCTCCCTATGGTGTACATGACACGTTTGTCCCCAGACTGGAAAATACGTTCTTAAGAGACAGCATTACTAACTGATGCGCAGTTTCAAGTCCAGGGCGTATGAATGCTTGAGACCAGAAACATTAAGTGTTTTCAGTAGGAAAAGTGTCTGCACAATGGGAAGAGGAGTGTTCCTGCTTCTGGAATACCTTAATGCAGCTTTCCCGAGCCTAGGGTCTGCCAGGTGTTTTGTCTTGCCTCTGCCCCCGTCCTTGACCAGAGACCCTAGAGCTGTACACCAGTCAGTAGACTTCATCTCTGTGCCTTCTTCATAGAATCTGTCTTAAAAGAGCTATTTGTTGTTGCTGCTGGTTTCTAATATCATTGTAAAGTCCCCGTAAAATGGTGCTAGCATCTTCCTTGACTAGAGTGGCGGGAGAAAAGATCTGCTCCGCTGATGTGTTAGGAAGATGCTTTAGCTTGAAGCCGTGGACTTTCCTTAGAGCTGTGGGGTTTTCATCTTCAACATAAATAAATAAAGCCATTTAGTGCTTTTATCTTAGGCTATTTATATACCTGCTGTCTTAATAGTTTTCCTTTATTTACAGAATTCTAAGTTCTTTGAAAGTAATCAGTGTGCATCTAATAAAATAGATAGCTAAGTGGGGGCAGATTTCTGTGTGCATCACATGTACAATGTGAGTGGCTATACATGCCTTGACTGCCTCTGAGAAGGAAGCTGCAGCCACCTCCACTGAATTTCAGGGGTGGCCCTTCAGATACGGTGGATCTTCAGCACTCCCCACAAGTATCTTGCAAGACTGCAGACTACAGCTGGCCCCCAACAGCGATCATGAAACCTTGGGACTTTAATAGAATCATATAATTTTGGAACTACCCATGAGAACTTGGTGCACAGTCTGAGCAAGATGGTTTTTTTAATCAAAAGCTCACTTTATTTTATTTTTACTTTTTTTTAATGGTCCAATAAAAGTATCACCTGTTCCTGCATTTGTATCATCTGTTCTTGGCAACTGAACCAGTGGTAAGGAAGGCTGATGGATGAACACACACACACACACACCACTCCCCCTTTGGGTTCAGTTAATTCGTAAGACAGCTTGGCTTTTTAAAATGGCAATAAAAGGAAGTCTGTAGTGCTAACATGAAGCCATGGTGTCACTATGAAGTAAGAAAACCTGTATTCTTTTTATACATTCAACTTAACATGAGTGTGTGTTTGTTTTCTCCCTTTAGAATATTGATATCACCAACTTCAGCAGCAGTTGGAATGACGGCTTGGCTTTCTGCGCCATCCTCCATACTTACCTCCCAGCCCATATTCCCTACCAAGAGCTGAACAGCCAGGACAAGGTACAATACAGAGGACACTTGGATCAAAAATCTTTATGGTTTGAAATTTGGATCAAATCTTTCTTCTATCCAGCTGTCATATACGCTGCTCTTCTTGTAGCCTCTTGTGGAGGCTGATAAGTACCCCTTCATAGGAACCACGTCTTCTAATGCACACTTTTTCCTAATGTTTCATCTATTGTATGTTCATTTAAAATCCTTCAATGCAGCATTTTTTTAAAAAAAAATTGCCCTGTTTGTTTTCTGTGAGGTCTCTCTGTGAGCAAGGACAGCTTGTTGTTTCCACTGAGGAGAATCTGTGACCACTGGTTAAAAGAGAAAGGTGCTCTAGCAATGGCTTTGTAGAAGTCAGTGATACTGTGCGGACAAATCTCTGAGGCAGCCTTTGCTATTTGCATTGTCCATTGTGTTTAATTATACCTTCATTGTATTTTCAGAGGAGAAATTTCACTTTGGCTTTCCAGGCGGCAGAAAGTGTTGGCATCAAATCCACTTTGGTAAGTGCCTGCCACAAGCAAGATTTTCTGCAGCCTTGGGCACTTTATATCCCTTTATATAAAAGGCAGTTGTTCATATTTCAGAGTGGACATGTAGATGACGGCACTGTTAAGTGTATATTTGAAGTTCCAGTGCAAAGAAAATTTGGAGAGAAATACCATAAACACCTTCAACCAAAAATGAAATGAAAATGGAGGACCCTGAGAGGAAGATAGCCCATGTCTGAAGAGTCATTTCTGTGAAGGCAGATTTCCTTTCCCACTGTCTAAAGCACTGGTTCTTAACCTTGGGTTACTCAGGAGTTTTGGTCTGCAACTCCCAGAAGCCTTCATCGCCAGCTGTCCTGACTGAGGTTTCTGGGAGTTGCAGTTCAAAAGCATCCGAGTAACAAAGGTTAAGAACCACTGGTCTAAAGTGTTGCCTGTGTACGGGTGGGTGCACACACGTTTGTTGATGCGTCCTGCAAAATTTGCTGTGGTATAACAGATGGTGGCTGTGAAGCATAAGCATTCTTTGGTCTGGGTGGACCATGAATGGTGGTGGGGAGCTGTTGGTGCTGAAGGGTAGGTGTTTGCCTTGTGACTTTTGTGTGACCTTGAATGCTGGTCTAGAACACGCAGGTGAGAGAAAAGCATACCTTGCCTCTTAACATTGGCATCCTTCCATACTTTTCTTGCTCTTATGTGCGTTTGAGGTATTTTGGGTTCAGGAGAGTGCCAGAAATCTCGCATGATCATGTCCAGCCATGCCAGTCCTGTTTGGGTATTGCAGAAGCAAGACAGAACATGTCATCTAGTAGCACAGACACTTCTTGGCCTGTAAAACTACACTTTCCAGACTAGGCTTTCTTCTCGTGAGTGAACTTGGCAGTGTATATCATTAGAGGCAGAGCCTTCCTGGTTTTGTTTATTAATAGACTTAATAATAGTGTTTCTTATGAGGCACTCAAAGCCTTAATGCTTAGCTTGAGCAGAATACTTCCCAAAGTTCTTGGCAGATGGATCCCCTCTTAAAGACTGTTTTTTTTAAATTTCTCTCTCTCTCTCTCTGGTAGGATATTAATGAGATGGTACGAACTGAGCGCCCGGATTGGCAGAATGTCATGCTGTATGTTACAGCAATTTACAAATACTTCGAAACCTGAGAGCCTGAATCAGAAAAGAGAACTTTAGGGGAAGCAAGAACCCGACATGACACAACTCAGCTCCACTGGTATCTTCCACATTTCTTGATCTCTGGTGAAACTCCGATGGGCCAATTCTGAGTGGCTTTGGTGGACAAGGTTTTGTTACCGCAAGTGTTTGGCTGACTCCAAATGGTTTAAGAACTAGATGGTTTAAGATGTTAATCTGAGAAGCCTGAACTTTAAAAATATTTATACGAAGATAGTTGTCACAACATTCATACTTCTGTTGGAAGAGAATGAAGTGAACAGATGCTATAGAAAGTGCAAGCTGGAATGAATTCAGGAGAAGGAACTCTGTGTGACTGTTATCACAGAGACTTTTATTCATACAAAATACTCATGAAAGTTGAGTGGCTCCTCAACAGAGAACCCCAGAGGACAAAAGAAACTCTTAACCCTGGTCTTGTGACTGCCTTAGACTCTCTCCACTTCCTCAGTATGCACAATTATTACAGGAAGTCTGAGGTTGTTTTTTCCTGTATCAACTTCACTTGCCTGACGGTGATGTCAGATATGGGCCTGCGTTCACAAAACCCAATTTGGTCACCCTGTTCCACTGAAGAGCTTCTGCTTATGCCTACCTCTGCCCATGGTTCACACAGCTTCCAACTCTGGTCTTGAAGGACTCCAGCACAGCCCATGTGATTTAACTGCATGCAGATGAGTTGAGATGCTGTAAAATATTCCAGGCCATTCTGCTTTCTATGAGGTTTCCTTTCCTCTTGCTTCCTCCGCCTTTTTGGTAAATGGCTATCTTTCCTTAAGAGACCTTCAGATGAGATGGTTTTGGTCACTGAGTAGGTTAAGCTCCTATTCACAAGAACTGAAAGCAATTCACCTGTTGTGTGTCTTGCCCCTGTGGAGCCTGCTGCAGGTAGTTTTGTGGTGTGCTCTTTGCTGTTTTTAATCTGCCACAAGTTGCAGCAGAAGAGGCTGGATTTAACTGAAGTGGGCTTCTGTGGATTCCCTTTGTAGGTGTGGAGCAAGAGTGGCTTGCAGGTGGACTGCTTAACCTGAATGGTGGGATTCCCACAGGAAAGAGCAAAGAATACAAAGCTTGGGTTTATACACTGGTTGTGAACCCACCTAGCACAACACAACTTTTGCCTTCTTGGTGAAAAGCATGCAAGCAAGTGCCTTACTTGGTCCTTAGTTGAGGGACATCCCGCCTCCTCCAGGGCCTTGTGCAGGAGGCTCAGAGAATCCTTAGGGCAGCCGCAAGGATTCTCTCCTTTCCAGTTAGGAGAACCTCCATCCTGCCATCACTCTTCTGCAAGCTTCCATGGGGTGCTGGTCACTAACTGGAAGAGGTTCTGACTCTTCCTTGATTCCCCCCCCCAATAATGAATGATTAACTTTCCTTTATTTTCTTTTTTGCCTAACAGCTTATCTAGACATTATAACCCTGCAGTCTTTTTTTTTTAAGTGTACGTATGTCTGGAACTTTTAACAGACACCATTGAATGCCATAGATGTGTCAGGTGGAAAAAAAAATCACCCAGCTCTTAATGGTTGTGGAGGGAAGACCCCCAGGCCAGACATAAGATTGTGTCTGGAGGCCAGATGGAATAAGCCTTGAAGGATGTAGCCAGAATGTGTTTCCTTGTGCCTCCGGTAGCTCCTGGACATGATTTGTAGTAAGAGGAAGACAACAGAGTTTAAGAGCGGCTGGAACAAGCCTTGAAATGGAAAGATTTCAGTTCCTCCTTTCTTGTGATTTTCCTCTTCCTGGAACACTAACATTAAGGATTCCTGAAAATATATTTAAAAGACTTTGGCCTGAGCGCAAATATTTCCCAGTGCGGGAGGCAGTATTGCAAATGATGTGGGAACCCAGTCTCCCTAAAACCCAGAATGTTTACCCCTTTTCACTCATAGGGAAGGGAGATGATGAAATGGGCCCACCCATGTCACCTCTTCACATCTTTGGACTTTTGTGGTACAAAGGAGGTTGCTTCTGGTGCATTGCTTAGGAACCCAAGAAGCCTTGCTCATCAGTGGCACCTCTCTATTTATTGCATTATTATGGAGCTCTCTTCCTTCTGAACCCAGTAGCCTTGTATTTAATGGACTTTGCTTGAGCCCAGTGCCAGTGAAGGTGGATCTCTGATCAAGACACTGGTGTCAAAAGGAGGATTTGGTTGCAGAAGGAAACGTAAAGCAGATGTGCAAGAACCCCTGTGTGGGACTCTGCCTACAGGAAAGAGAAAAGGAGATCTACTTTATGCTGTTTCTATGAATGGATTAACTATTTTTGATAAAACTGAATCCTAGAGAGAAACCCAGCTGCTCAAATACAAATTCCGTAAGCCAAAAAAAAAAAAAAAAGCACAGAGGAGGACAGACAAGAACTTGAAATCACCATGTTGTTCTGTGGTGGAAGAGAAGACTTTTTCCAAGAAACTTTTGTTCTTCTTTAGAAAATTATCAACATAAGCCTTCTTGAAAAGATAGTCTTTAATTTCCGATTCACCTTTTTAAAAAGCCTACATTACTGTAAAGTACATTATTGGTGTTTTTGTCTTCCTCTTCCTCCTCTTTTAAGTATATCATGTAAAGGCCAAACCATGTGCTTGATTTCTTTTGGTTGCATCTCAGTAGATGTCCTGCATAGTGGTCTTTAGTTTTTATGTATTTTACTCATTGCCTTAATTTGATGGAGAGGTTTGCAGTGGCCATGTATCAGATGTTGTATACACATCCCTGAAACCTCAGAGCCTGTGATGAGAAGATGAAGAGGAGCGTGGAACTGTTGATGCCCCGCTTAGCTAAGCAAGATGACCATCCCCGGGTGCTCCTGTCATAGAGGAGCTAGGCAGATTCCTCTTCTCCAGTTGTAGCCCTCATGAGGCTGTTGCATTGCAGCTAGCTTCCTTCAGACCGTGCCCAGGGAAGTGGGGAAGCTTCTACAATATTAGCTCCCAGGATTGCAAGGGGGATGTGTGGACGTGAAGAAACTCCAAGGCAGGCAAAAGAGTATGAGATTTTCATCATTTTTCACTTTAATGTCATGTTTCTGCAATTTGCTTTTTGTGACAAGAAAAAAAAACTTCCAGCAGGCAGCCACCCTAGTTGGGGGAGAGGGGAACAGTTCCTCTGTTTATAGTTGCCCCTCTACACATACATAAACCAAGTCTTTGCAGTGATGCAGGGCTTCAGAGAACTCGGATTTGGCTGCACCAGATCTCCCCCCCACCCTTTTCAGTTTGGTCTTTTTTTCCCTGGAAGTTTGCATAGCAATGGCCAGTCACGTATTGTTTAAAGCCTTTTGTAAGAGGTTTCCCATGAGACCTCCAATATCTTACACAGGGGGCAGGAACGGGTCTCCCAATTCACAAACAGGCCCTTGGAAATCAGCTAGATTCTAGTCACAACCCAAAAAGCAAGATTTTGCAAATAAAACTTTTAAAAGTGCCACAAACCTCTAAGCAGTCCCTTCACCCTTGAAGCTCCTGGGCTTGGTTTATTGTGCATTGAAACCATGATCCATAAATGCTTCAAAATAGAGTACTCAGCACACACTGCCCATCCAATGAGAGGGACATGTTGCTGGAGTTGGAACGCCTCTCATTTTAATGACTTTGGCTCCTTATTCTAGACGTGTTTTAAGGCTCATTCTGAAATGCTACCCAAAGGAAACCTTGTAGGCAGAAAAGGTCTAGTTTCCACCCAGGCTTCAAAACAGCCACTACAAACACCCTTTAAACTGTGTAATAAACATGTTAATAGCTCCCTGATCTGCAATTGTCTCCTTTTTATTGTATCTCTGCTTTGATTCTGCCTTATATTTGCCATTTGTCTTGTTTCCTTTTTACTTAGCTTATTTGGTTTTCTGAGATTTGGATAGTTTCTTTAGGTCTGATGAAATAGGAAACAAGCAATTGCCTCTGTGTGAGAGAGAGAGAGAGAAAGAGAGAGAGAATTCTGAGGGGGCAGGAATGCTGATGTGTTGCTGGCTGCTTCATGATAGCCTCCCCCCCCAACCTCCCAATCTGTATTGGAGACAATGGTATCACTTCTAAAGGGCAGTGAAAATGGGAGACTCTCACCCACTGGCAGTCAGAGATCCACTGTGTGGGGTTGTTGATGCCTCATTTTCCAATAATGGGGTGCTAGGCAACACCATTCAGGGTCAAAGTTGTGTTTTGTGTGCATAATTTATGGTCTGTCATTTGAATGTGGATTCATTGATAAGAATTTTTGCCAGCAGGGACGTATTGCTTGCAAGATGGAAAAATATTTTCAATAGCCAAGTGAAGCCTGTAACTTCCTGCCTTTAATTAAACTGATTGTGTTTCTGATGCCCAAAAGGAGGTACTATTGGTTTGCCCCCTTGCAAGTGAACATGTGAAAGAAATGGTTCTTCTCCTTCACAAGCTTGTGGAGAGGGTTTTTTTTTTGTCAGATTCCACAAAATGAATTTTCCCTCTCACCCCCTGCAATCACACTACAAGGCTCTTCCATTACTTGCTGACATTGGGACGATTCCTTAGTACCATCCCTTGAGTGTTTGCTCAAAAGTAAGTTCCTCCGTGTTTAGTAAACGTGTTTTGGGTCGTTTCCTGTTCAGGCAGTGTAGGTTGTGCCGGCGTGCTGGGTAAATGTACTGAATTACTGTCCTTCCGTTTGAAAACATCACGAGTGGGTTTTGTAATCGGCTCTGTTGCAGGCTTCTTGTTCATTACATGGTGTCACACTTCAGCTTATCAAAGGATGGGACTTTGGAGGTTTCTTGGATGACAGAAAGAAGCCTTGTCTTGGAGAAATCAGGTGGTCTTCATTGCTGCCTTGCACTCATGGCTTCCAACAGCCCCTCTGTTGTGAAGAAGTGAACTCCTCACATGGCTGAGCGCCTGGCAGTTGCCCTATAGAGTCCACATGGCAGGCTGAGCCGCCAAGCAGGTCTCTATTTATAGCTCACAGACAGAGTTTGCTGGACTGTTCTGCAGATGTGCTGCTGAACTGAATTTTGTCTGTTATGCTGAGCTAGAAAATGGAAGAGGATGGAAAATCTCAACAGCCTTGGGGGTAGATGGATGGGTCACCAGGAAACAAACACCCATCCTGACTTGGTTGAACTGGTGTGGCACAAGCTGCACAGAATGAGGGGGAAACAGGGCATTGTCCCAGCCTCTCAGCTGCTTGTGTATCTTGTTTCCCCAACGACACACCTTAGTGAGTCACAGCCTGTGGGTCAGTACTACCCACTTTCAAGACTGCCCTGGGTGCCCCACTCGCCCACCCCAGCCAACTGCCCTCAGCTCATTCCTCTGTTTTTACTTAATATAGACTGCAGTTTTCCGAGTGGTGCAGCTTGTTCCTGTACATCAATGTATATTTGTGAACTAGTTTTGGAACTAGCCCATAAATGAAGAGAATCTATCACCTAGCCCTGGAAAGAGCATCGTTAGTTGAGTCACTAGATGTTTGGGTGATTAAAAAAAACCTTGTCAGCAGCAGATGAACGTCCGAGGCAGGCAGTGAGCAGAATCTGCAGTCGGATGTTACAAAACAGGCACTTTCCTGCTGTACATCTGATGGGAAAGGCATGGTGCAGCTCTCGCAGGCATGACGGCCTCACCCAGTCTGTCTGTCTGTCTGTCTGTCTGTCTGTCTGTCTGTCTGTCTCTCTCTCTCTCTCTCT